AACTGAATCATCATGCGTTAAACGGAATGGAGTTTGTAGTTTTATTCGGGAAGTAAACAAGTCAACAATATATTTCGTTTGATGTCAGGAATCTCACTTAGTAGCACTAGACAGTAATTATTAAACGATGTTCCTGTTATCAATTATCTTCTGAATATTCTAGTTAGATCTATGTTTTAGATAGATATATGCCTTCTTTTTACTGTATTTACATATAACTACAAGTGTGATGGATGGGATGTGACATACATTTGCACTCATACATGTCTTGAGGTTGGTAGTTGATAGTTGGATAGATAAACAGACAAACAAATACACAGAGGAATATATAGATAGATAGATAAAATGTGCGTGTTTATCCTCTTTCCACGTATTTGTAGAAGGGCCGAGTGACTCTGCTACCAGCTAATATTAAATTTACCGATTTTTTTGTTTTTATCTTTTGCTTAGAAGTAAATAGTTGGCAGTTTTTCCATATCAGAAATCTAAAGTTCATGAATGACATACTTGTGTTCAGTCTAGTTCTTTTTATTCATCTCTATATTATTCTCAACCGTTTGATTTTACTTCAGGTTTATGAAGCAAGTCCTGAAATATCTATTATGTATCCCTTATTACTAAAACATTTTAGTTTATCAAGACCAACTATCATTATAACTAGCATTTGGATTAATCAGTCGCTTTTATAGAATACTGTTTTTTTATGGAAATATTTTTTTTCTTATTTTCTTAATCTTATCATTATCATAATTATCTAGTATTGTCTATTTTATTTTCCTTACCTCTCGCGATATTGCTACATACATATAACATTGCTATTGTCCTCCAATATCAGCGTCGTTATTATTGTTATCGTCTTCATCATTCCTCTTTTTATTATATCCGATATTATTTCTGTGACCGTCACTAGTATCCTCATAATCTTTATTTTCGTAATTTTCATTATCAACAAAAAAAATTATCTGATCATATCAGCAGGTCCAGCATGAGTCTCTTGCTCCTAACCCCCCCCCCCCCCCTCTACCAATTCCGTTAAAGTAAACTAAAGTAAATAAATGGAAAGTAGTACAATTAAAAATCTATCTATCTATATCTATCCAACTATTTGTCTATCTATATATCTATCTACCTCTCTCTCTCTCTCTCTATCTATCTATCTATCTATCTACCTATTTACCTCTCTCTCTCTCTCTCTATCTATCTATCTATCTACCTATTTACCTATCTCTCTCTCTCTCTCTATCTATCTATCTATCTATCTATCTATCTATCTACCTATTTACCTCTCTCTCTCTCTCTCTCTCTCTATCTCTATCTATCTACCTATTTACCTCTCTCTCTCTCTCTCTCTCTCTCTCTCTCTCTCTATCTACCTATTTACCTCTCTCTCCCTCTCTCTCTCTCTCTCTCTCTATCTATCTATCTACCTATTTACCTCTCTCTCTCTCTCTCTCTATCTATCTATCTATCTATCTATCTGTCTACCTATTTACCTATCTCTCTCTCTCTCTCTCGCTCTATCTATTTATAATGTATATTCGATCATGACAGACTGACGTCACCTCCAATGTAATGAAGAGTGGAAAGGCATAGGACACTAAATCTAAGGATAATAATGATCTATCAAACCCAGAGTAATGATAATTAATGTACCGGTAATCGTCACTTTCTCCGAACCCTTAATTAGTTTACCAGAGAGCTCACTGAACTGGCAATTAAGAATGACCTTCCAGTTATCAGTAATCGCCAACTAACCTTTTCTGTGTGCCAAAGAGAGAGAGAGAGAGAGAGAGAGAGAGAGAGAGAGAGAGAGAGAGAGAGAGAGAGAGAGAGAGAGAGAGAGAACGAAAAGAAAAAAAAAATCAGTTTTCTTAGAAGAAAGAATAAAAAAAACGAATGAAAGGTTAAATGCCTAAGAAAACAAATAGATAAATAAATTAGCAAGTAAATAAATGAACCAGTAAGCAAATGGATAGGTAAAAAAAAACAATTGAGTTAATATGTATATAAGTAAATAAACAGATAGACCAATAAACACACAATGGTATAATCAAATCGATCAATTAAATACCCTGAAATATATGCATGTAATGACATACCTTTTTTCACTGCTTGTGGATATCTTGTAAGAAGGACGAATAAGAATAACAGTGATATTATGGCGACGAAAACCGTGGGCTTCACTGTTCGAGATCGGAAAGTCGTCCCCATAGTTTTTTTTCTCTCTCTCTCTTTATCTTTTATCTTTTTTTTTTATCTTTCTTTCCCCCTTTTCTTTGGGTTATATTCTTTTTTTTTAGTTTTATATGTTTTCTTTATTTTCTTCGCTCTCTTTCTGTCTCTCTTTCTCTTTCTTTCTCTGTTTCTTTGGTCTTTCTCCTCTCTTTCCTCTCAATATCTTCTTATCCTCTCCTTTCTCCTTGTGGACTATCTTCCTCTTATTCCTCTTATGGTCTGTCTCGCCCGATTCTTCCTTCGGTGTCGGATCTCTCTGCGTCTC